GAATTTTCTGAAATGTCCTTATAATTTCATGTAAAACGGAAACAAGTGTTCTTAAAGACTTCTGTTATCGTCGACTCAATGTTGAGCATGAAATGTATTATAAATGTTTTGCTTGTGTCCGTGTGAATGAAGCAGAATCTTACAACAACCACAAGCCGCCGAAGGACAGTAGTGGTTTGCGTGTCTAATACAATTCCGACTGTCAACCGCAAAATAACCGAGTTTTTAATTCAAAGTCTTTGGCGGTAAAATCGCCGTCTAAATACAGCAACTTCCTATGGCCAACTGAATAAACAGCTATGTCTCAAAATCTAGCAATGATCGAGCAACTGGTGGTCATTTTCAGGATAACAAAAGTGGGCTGCCACAAAAAAACGAAATGACATCCAAAAGTGCTGCCATTTAGAAGACCTTAGCTGTAGCAATCCGCTGAAGTTGAGCCTTTCTTTGTTTCTTTATTCATTTTCGCAAAACTTAAAAAGCCTTTAAATGTTTAACTGCAGCATTTGCTTAACTGCAGACATAAATTTGTTGGATTTTCCAGCAACGTGTAGCTACAACAACAATAATGTAGGCAACAAGCCATTGCAACAGCAAGTTTTAAAATAACAGCAACAACAACCACAACAATTGTATTAATTAAGTTAAATGAAACATGTGAGAGAAGGTGGCAACACAGTGATGATGGCTGCGCCAATTGTTGTTGTCGTTGTTGCTGCTGTTGTTGGTGCCAGGAAACTAAGAAAATTATTCCGCCGGTAGCCTAGAGAGTAGAAGAAACTCTACCTCCACCATCAACAGCAAAAAACAGGGTCAAACTCAGCAAAAACAAAAACAAACACGGAACACACAAACCGCAAAAGTTAACAATTTGCTGCATTGCACCATGCGACACATCACACCCTCAACTGTTTGCATGTCTTCAGCCTTCGCCACCAACAACGCCGTCGTCGTCGTCGTCCACACCGTCAATTACGAAGAAACAGAAGTCAACGATGGGGTGGACAAACAACCCATCCATGTACACCTCTTTCGGCGTTCCTCCTCGCTTGTTGGTGCAGAGTCAATGTTCTGCCCATAGCCAAATTGACCCACCCCTCCACGCTGCCTTGTCGTTGTGGTGCCTATGAGGAAAGCGTGGGAAATTCACTTTCGTTAACTAAGTTAGCAGTGTTCAGCGTTAAAACGGCAACGCCCCAACGGTGGCAGGTATGTTGTTGCATGTCCGACTACAAGGGGCAACAAGAAATGAAGATTATTTAATTGCCGGCAAAATTCAAAATAATAAAATGAAAACATAATTTGGCATCAGTGAATTTATAGCTTCAATATAAATTTGTCAATATTGTTTATACCCTCCGCCATAGTATGGAGGGTATATTGAGTTTGTCATTTGTTTGTCATTCAAATTTCACATTTTAAGTCCCTAATTGCAAACTATAACAGAAAATTGACTATGCGGGTTCACGTCTTCGTATAGCCCCCATATAATTTTACCTCCCCAAATTCGGTATTTTAATATTTTTTGGGATATTATTCTACGGAATTGTTTCAAATTTCGTACTTGCAGTTCGAAACGAGTGCTACAGCCTCTTTGAATTCAGTATTTTGATGTTTTTGTGACATTTTATTTCAAGTTATTTTTTTCAAGTTTCCTGGAAAAATTTGTCGGAGACCCCAAGAAATATATATATTCTACATCAGCATAAAATTCTAACGTGATTAGCGATGTTCGTCCGTCTGTCGTTGGAAATCACTCTAGCTTCCGAACGAAATGAAGTAGGTTGATAAAATTTTACTCAGATGTGTGTTTGTTCTGCGGGACTTGGGGTATTGAAAATGGGCTATGGTGGTTCACGTTTAGGCATAGCCCCGTTCAAGTACTTCTCAATTTTCTGCCACATTTTCCAATCAGATCAGGTGAAAGTTGACAACTGAGGTAGTCGGTAGGTCATTTCTCTCCTTGCAAAAATGTTAAATTCAGATCCACTAATTGGTCTAGCCCCCATATAGCGATACCTCCTGATTTTCGATATTTTGAAGGTTTCTGACACAACTTCCACAATTTGATATACAGGGTGAGATGAAAAAACTGCAACCAACTTCAGACTGCTGTCATTTCTAAGCCACTCGCCCGACAGCTGTTAAAATTATTCCAGTTCTATTCCAGCTCATTATATTGTTTACAAGCGTACAAAAGCATTTTGGTGAGAATTTTCCGGAATAAAATTTACTCGTGATGTAATTCAAGCGTAATAGTGTGATTTCTTTATATTTAGCTGGAAAAACATAAGTCGGTATCGTTAGAGTACTTAAGCATTTAAATATGAAAAAATCTTTTGTGTCTTGTACCATCGCTCGTTACCGTGACACTGGTCGATGACATCAAGGAAGTGGGCGGAAGAAAACAGCAACATCAGTAGAAATGCTTCGAAAAGTAAAGAAGTGACTTGATCGAAACCCGCATCGCAGTGACCGAAAAATGGCTTGTGAGCTCAACATATCGCAATATTCCATTCGGCAAATATTGAAAAATGAGATCAGGGTAAATTCCAAAAAGTGCAAGAACTCACACCGCAACACGAAGAAAATAGACTCAAAAGAGCTATATAGTTCCGAAATCGAAAGTGGTGAACTGCTGAATTTGATTTGATTTGAATGAGGAAACATTCGTTGTCCAGCAGTTTGTAAACAAACAAAATGATGGTGTTTACTTGCCAAAGAGGTCAGCTGAAAATGTGCACCTTCGGTTGGCCACCAGAACTCAAGCACCGTCCATGGTGATAGTGTAAGACGCCATAACAGCCGATGGTCGCTCTCCGCTCTCATTAATAGACCGTGGATTCAGAATAAATGCCGAATATTACCGCGAAAATGTTCTGGAGGGTGTATTAAAGCCTTGGGCACGCAAACATTTTGGCCACAGACCTTGGACATTCCAACAGGACTCAGCTCGCGCCACCCAAGAATGGTTACAAAATGAGGCTCCTCGTTTAATTTCCAGCGCACAATGGCACCAAAATCTCAGGATACCAATTGTGTGGACTATTGTATCTGGCGTATTTTGGAAAGCAAGGTTGATACTAAAAAGCAAGCGCTGCGCCGGGAATGGGTCAAAATACCGCAGAGCAACATTCGCACAGCGTGTGACGGTTTCAATGGCCGTTTGAAGGCCATAATTAATGCCAAAGGTAACCAATTCGAACAAATCTAAACTTATTCTAAAATTTGATGCTATTTCCGACAAAATAAAAATTATGGCGGTTGACTTTGTTGCAGTTTTTTATCGCACCCTGTATGTGTTTCATCCCATTTGATATTGCAGTCCTATGTAATGTGCATTTCAAACTAACGATATTCAGGAGATATATATATATATATATATATATATATATATATATATATATATATAATATATATATTTCATGTTTATTGTAGACCAAATTGTTAATATCAGTCCAAATTGGATGGATTTTTTTGTGAACATCGTTTTAGCTATATATCCAATGTATATGCTTCGCCCGACTATAATTTTTGTCTTTCCAAAGTCAAACATACACCAAATAACAATCATATTCGATACAAAAGATCACATACAAAATAAAATCTAAATAATCTCTATATCAGCAAAATCTGGTAAAATCATATAGACGTCATACTGTGTGCTATACCGGAACTTGGACAGATATTACCCATTTTCTTCCTGAGGCTTCTAAAAGCATTACAAGCCGCCATATATCATCAATCTACTTCCAATATTTTTATGACATTGCAACACTGTGCGGTCCCGCCCATTTGGTGTCCTTTCTGTGCTGTTTAATTTTATCTTTTTTTTAAATTAAAAAAAAAAAAATAAAAACAAATGAAAATAAATAAAAAACAAAATATTTTACTTTTTTCAAATGCAAATTGTTTTCTTTGCAATTCAATGTTGGATTCTTTATTTTTTCTTTGACATTAATAAAAAAATATAAAAAAGGATTACAAACTAATCATAACCAATTAATATAAATAATTATAACTAATATAAATTTGTTTTTTTTTTTTAATTCATTAAAATAGAAAACTGAAACAATTTTAATGCAGGATTGTTAATAAATAACGGCTTAAGATGCTAAATGAAACAGGATATTCTTAAAGAAAACAGGATTAAAAAATAGAGAGAGAGAGCAAATTAATAAAACTTAACATGTATTTTGCTTGGTAAAAAAATAAACGCAAGTGTTTGGCAAATTACATTGAAATCGATTTAAACAATAACAGTAACAATCGATTTTACAGGATAGGCTAAAACTACATAAAGGTGGTTGGGAAAAAATTAACAATTAAAAAAAAAAAATACATTTGTTGTGACAAAATTCATGGAATGATGGTTAACTACAGGGGGAGGGGGCAAGTGACATGTTTTCAAAACTAAAAATTTTTCTAAAATTTTTAAAATCAACTAAAAAAGATAAAAACAGAAAATTTAATTCATTTTATGAAATCAAAAATGTAAAACAAAAAAAATATATAAAAATAAAACAACAAAGAAACTTAGTAATTATTCGAAAAATTTTCAGCAAGAAAGGACTTATTTTAGACAAAATTAGTTTATGTTCACAAATTAGAGAAAAGGAATTTTAAATTTGCAAACAAAAGGAGTTTTATGTTTTGAGCCCTAGGGAGAATTCTTGGTTTGTTGGCATTTAAACTAAACTCTAAAAGACTAAACATAAAAACTAAAAAAATTACAAAATGAATAAATAAATAGGGTTAAAAATTAACTAAACTAATTGTTGTCCTTAAAAAAATAGCTTAATTGTTGATTGATTGGTTGGTTGGTTTGTTTGTTTTGCCATATGCTAAAAAAATAAACAATAGTTGATGTTTTGAAATTATTTTTAAAATTAACGTAACTAATAATAATGAAAAATTACAAACTAACAAATGCTTTAGTAGGTGTTTGTTTTGAAAATTAATACTATATATTTTTTTTTTGTTTTGCTTTTGTTAAAAATAAACAGAGTTACAACGAAATTAAAAAAAAAACGTTAACAAAACATCTTTGTGTAATTTGAACTAACATTTTGTTTTTGGGTGTAAACAAAACAAAAGCTTGCCTGAGAAAAACGTTGGCACAACCTATACAACAAAAATTGGTTAACGTTTAGCTTCAAGCGTGTCATTATAGCTTAGAAAAATCGTCCAGAGATTGGAGAGATTTGGAATACCAAAATTGAGAAATGATTCCTCCAGTTATCCCCAGAAGGCGGTGTCCCATTTCTCTTCCTCTCCTGGCCCTTTTATCATCATTGTAGACTCTCTTACTGTAGTTTGTGCTTAATTAGTTAACAATTTGTAAACTTTCTATGGTAGTTTAGTATTAGTTCTAGTAGTTTGGGGGGCGGGGGGAAATTTCCTTTAAACTTAGACTCAGTCTTGGCAGAGAGATTATCGATTAATTTGTCTTGCTAGTTATATGCTGCTAATAAAATCATAATAAAATTAATTACTAATTATAGTTATCCTGGCCTTAATGCTTACAAAAATATTTACTTTAAACTTGGCAAGTTTGGAGGCGGCTAATTTCATGATATTCAAATGTACATTTCTAGTATTTAAAAAAAATCTGGTATCTCTTCTTCGTGTTTTTCAACTAATATCATTTGCATGTGTAAAAGCTTTCTCTGTAACGAAAGCTTTGCGGATTGACATACCACAGGCCAGGAGCATGAGCGCGGGCGCTTAACTAGGCACTCTCTGTCTTCACCACAATCGGCAAAGTAGCACCAATGCTGTTGTTAAGCGGCGATGTCCGGGTGTAGTCTTCGGATTTCAACATCATGGGAAGATTCATTTTCATATCAGCCAAGAGCGGCAATGTTGGCTTGTTCTCCCCTCCCATTTGATGGTGGCCGGGTGGTCCACCTTGTCGTTGTTGATGTGACTCATAGCGGGTATGGGTACGCATGTGTCTGGTAATCATGTCCCTTCGGCAGGCAGCATAAGGACATTGGGGACACTTGTAGGGCTTCTCGCCGGTGTGGGTCCGCTGATGTGTTGATAAGTGATCGGAACGTGAAAATACCTGTCCGCACACCTTGCAGGTGTAGGGCTTGACACCGGTGTGCAAACGCATGTGACGTGTCAACATATCGGAGCGGGCAAAGGAGCGATTACAAACTTCACAGGAGTATGCTTTGGCAATGTCATTCGAGGGGTTGCGGGACTTGTGCCGCGAGGCCATGTGTTTGGCCAGACGATCGTGCAGTGAAAACATTTGACCGCACACGGGACACACATAGGCCACATCGGAACCGGGTGGCATTTCTTCGACCACGGGTGAAACATCGAGATTATAACGCCATGCCACCGACTCCTTCGTGGTGGGTGATGCCACATCGCCCTTGATGACGGGCACCCCCACCGTTGTACTGTGGGCATGATGATGCAAGGGATGCATGGGCATTTCCAATTTAATCATGGCTGCGGCAGCTGCAGCTGCTGCAGCATGGGCAGCCGCTGCATGAGTCAAACCGTAGGGTGAAACGGGGGCGGAGGAAACCCCAGAAGTTGTCATTGTATTCGTGGAACTACTCATGCCCCCACTGCTGTTATGCCCAGAACTGGATGGTGACATGGCAGCTGAGATCGGTTGTTGGCTGGGTGGCAACATCATTGTGGTTGCCGGCAAGGGGGAGGATGATTTGTACTTCTTGGCATTGCCATTGTTGCCCCCACCCGTCCCACTGGCCATCAGCTCGCCCGTTGGTGTGTTACCTCCACTCCGCACGGATAAATCCAACGGCCTCTCCTGTGGTGGCGGCATTATGGCAGGATCTGAAGTATTGGCTGCTGTCGTCTCACTTATTGACGTTTCACTGCGTGGTGGCGATGGCAATGCCATGGTCACACTGTGTGGCGGTGATTGATTCGAAGTGGGCATAAACTCGGGCATTTCATGAGATCTTTCCATTTTCTGGTGGTATTCCTTCAACTCCTTCGCTGAGGGCGAGGTTTCATCCATTTGCGACGAGGCAATCGATGAGGGTGTGTGCTGCATGGGCGAGGTATGGAGATCCTGTCTCCTTCGAAATACTTCATTGAGATATTTGGTATGGAGATAGTAACCAAATAATGGTGAGGGTATGGGAAAGTAACGATCATAGGGGCTGTTGGGTAGGTGTGGCTCAGTCTTGATGTCAACGGTGAGAGGATTTTGAGGTTCTTCCGTTTTGATAAACTTTGCCGCGGGTAGTGTAGGATCCATGTTGTTATTATTATTATTATTGTTGTTATGGATTTTATGATCTGCTGGACTCAGGCTAACCCTAGGACTGCCTTCATTGTCTCCGCTTATGGACATTTCTTCTTCTGCCGACTCGGCCACATCGCCATCCTGCATGCGTTCCTCGTTGTCACTTAGACTGGTGCGATTGTGGGGTGATGGCATTTTTACATCCTCATCCTCTTCGTTGTTGTTGTTAGCCTCTTTCTTGAGATCATCCTTATCCATTACCAGATCATCCTGATATTCATTTTCCAGATCCATGTTATTGGCGCTGTTGTTGTTGTTGCTGCTGCTACCACTGCTGCCAGAACTATTGTGATGATGCAGTTTATCCAGAACCGCCGATAGACGCTTACGTTTCCTCTGCTTCCAAGGCATAGTGGGATTGCTTAGCGAGTTACTAGAGCTGTTTGTGCTATTGTTGTTATTGTTGGTGGCATTATCTTCTTCGCGGGTATTATTGTTACTGCTGCTGCTGTTGCCAGTGACTGCAGCCGCTGCCGCAACAGCAGCCGCAGCTGCTGCCTGCTGATGCAAACTCAAGGCCAATGGCAGGTTATGTGGCAAACCATAGGGCAAATGGGTATAGGCTTCATACTGATGCGAGGCTGCTGCTGTTTGATGTTGCTGATAGTGGTGGTGTTGGTGGTGATGTTGCTGCTCCTGCTGGCGATGATGATGGTGATGGGATGCTGCATGATGCCCCATAGGGTCATTACCTTCTGCCATAGTCATTAGGTCACAGTTGTAATGAAAACTTTGTTCCTTGCGAGCAGTTGGACCTTAAGTCGGTGTGGCAAAAGACGAAATCTTTTGATTGGAACTTACGATTTGAGGGGGCTGTGGTGGCTGGTTGGGTCAAGTCCAATTCAGTTGTTGGTGCTGTAAAGATAATAAAAAAAAGTAAATTTTGGTTAGATTTTGAAAACCGTAAAAGCAAATTATTTCTATTTTTAGGCATGTAAATTAATAAATAATAGATTTTAAAATGTTTTAATTAAATTAAATTTTATGAGCGAGAAATTGAGACATAAACTTTTAAAATCTCCTGTTATCGGTAAATGTTGTTTTTACGACTATTTTATATTTTTTATTATTATCATTATTATATGTATTTTTTTCCGTATCACTTTTTCTATTATTATTATTATTATTATTATTATTATTATTATTATTATTATTATTATTATTATTATTATTATTATTATTATTATTATTATTATTATTATTATTATTATTATTATTATTATTATTGTTATTATTATTATTATTATTATTATTATTATTATTGTTATTATTATTATTATTATTATTATTATTATTATTATTATTATTATTATTATTATTATTATTATTATTATTATTATTATTATTATTATTATTATTATTATGATTATTATTGTTATTATTATTATTATTATTAGTATTATTATTATTATTATTATTATTATTATTATTATTATTATTATTATTATTATTATTATTATTATTATTATTATTATTATTATTATTATTATAATTATAATTATTACTATTATTATTATTGTTATTATTATTATTATTATTATTATTATTATTATTATTATTATTATTATTATTATTATTATTATTATTATTATTATTATTATTATTATTATTATTATTATTATTATTATTATTATTATATTATTATTATAATAATTATTATTATTATTATTATTATTATTATTATTATTATTATTATTATTATTATTATTGCTATTATTATTCTTATTATTACTCTTATTATTATTATTATTATTATTAATATTATTATTATTATTATTATTATTATTATTATTATTATTATTATTATTATTATTATTATTATTATTATTATTATTATTATTATTATTATTATTATTATTATTATTATTATTATTATTATTATTATTATTATTATTATTATTATTATTATTATTGTTATTGTTATCATTATTATTATTTATTATTTTTTTTTAATTATTTTTTTTATTTTTGGCCTACTTAATAAAATTTCCCCATCAAAGCCATATTTTATGGGAGAAATTAAATTTAGCGATTTTTCGTAAAAAAAATTATCCATATTTCAATACAACCCCTTTAAATTAAATTTAATTTCAGCACCTTTTCAGTAATTGCCTGCCCTTTCCCAAAATTTTATACGACTTTCTTAAATATGTCTTCCTATGAGAGTGAGTAACTTCGTAAATATGTTCTTAAGTATCTTCCAGTAGAAGGTGGTTTGTTGTTTTTACTGCATTGCGCTTATCCTTATTTGATATATGAGAATTGTTTTCCTTTAGATTATCCTTATAAGTATAACAAGCAAACAACCAAACACAATCATGCAGCACCGTGGCAAACATCCATCCACACACACATTGCACGTTACATTATTTTCCACATCACTAAACTAAATAGCTCCTTAAGGGCATACATGAAGCGCTACTGAAGTGAGAGAAGTATTGTGGGAGGAGTAAAGGGCTGACACACAACACTGCAAGAATGTAGACACCGTATGAGGAAAAGACACGCTAGTTTAGCAAATATAAACAAATATTATACGGTAAACATTAGATGAAGGAGGCCTTAGGGTATCCTGCTCCGCTTTTTTTCTTCTTCTTCTTCTTTGATTTTTATAGTTCCCTGCCTAGGATGGCGTTAAGTTTCTATTTAAATCCTAAGAATTTCCGTTGTTAGCATTTGAATATTGTTAGCAATATTCTTAATGTTTTTGTTTGCTGTTGTTCGTCTTGAGCATTCATGGAGGTGTGCATATTTATTTTAATGACTATTTTAACCCTAAGCTTTTTTAAGGTGTAGATTTTGTTTATCCTTGTAAGGCTTATTATGTCTGGATTTTGGCAAAGAAGTATATTTATCTATGGTATGACCGTCATTTACTTGTTGATGTTTGAGGATAGGAAGTTTTTTTTTTTGGAAAGACGTGAAGGATATTATATATGTAAACATTATAAGAATGATTAACTTTCAAAGTATTTAATTGAATTAATAAAAAAAAACTTTAAAAAAAGTCTCCGGCTTTTAAAAATTATTCAAAAACTATTTTATCCTTCCTAAAGGATATTTGAAAAACCGGTATTACAATGTGCTGCTGACTGGGATTTTTTAATATTCAATTGCCCATTGAGATAAACTTTTAGGGATAAAATATATAATCTTTGCATAATTTTGGGCTCGGGTGGTAATGCAAAAAAATGAACAAAAACATGATCGGGAAAATAAAAATCGATTATAAAAAACCGAGTTAAGGATTGTTCCCCAGGTAAAAGACGACATTAACATTTCCTTAGCAAAATTTTAAATATATCAGAAAAAACTTACAGTTTCTGAGGTTTATATTTCACATCGCTCGACCGTACTTCTTCAAAGTTGCAGCAAATCGTAAGTTAACCCACTTTTTTGCAAAAAATGAAAGAGCTTGACTTGTATGACATGACAGCAGTGCCACATGCCACTTTCACGATTTTTCCTGAATTATATGCTTTACCCCCCACCATACAATGTTGGAATGCGATTTTATTCCGTTTTCGAAATATTCGTGGGAGACCCCAAATATTTTAAATATTCCTGATCAGAATAAAAGTATGAGGCGATTTAGCGATATCGATCCTTCCTTCCGTATATCTGTGAAAATCACGAGAGAGTCCACATTATTTATTCTAGAGCTTTGAAATTTGGCTCAAGGGTATATTTTATAGGTACTGAAAATACGCTATATTGGCCCACGTTTAGGTATAGCCCCCATATAACGATTCCTCCCGATTTTCGGTATTTTTGAGCTTTCTGGCAAAACTTCCAAAATAATTAGCTAAAACTTGACAATCTGTGAAAATCACGAGAGAGTCCACATTATTTAATCTAGAGCTTTGAAATTTGGCACAAGGGTATATTTTATAGGTACTGAAAATACGCTATATTGGCCCACGTTTAGGTATAGCCCCCATATAAGGATTCTTCCCGATTTTCGGTATTTTTGAGCTTTCTGGTACAACTTCCAAAATAATTAGCTAAAACTTGACAACTGGGGTTGTCAGTAGGTCTGTTCTCTCCTTGCAAAAAATGTTCGATTCAGGTCCATTATTTGGATGATTTTAGCCAACAGAATTAACTCAAACTTGATATTTGGAGTTCGTAAAGGCACCACTTTCTCAGCAGGATTTTTATTTATATTTGAAATTTCCTTCCAAATGGTTGAGGGTATAAAAAGTTCGACCCGGCCGAACTTAGCCGAACTTGATCAGCATAACTCTAGCTTCCGAATAAATTAAAGTAGGTTGATAAAATTTTACTCAAACATGTGTGTTCCTCTGCAGGAATTTTTTTATTTAAAATGGGCTATATATGTAGGTCGTATACCTGTATACCTCCCCATAATCGTCATTTTGACGATTTTAGCGACATTATTCACCGGAATTATTTCAAATTTCGTATTAAAAGTTCCTAATCAGGTCCAGGTCTTTGTATAGCCCCCATATAACCGTACCTCCCTATATTCGGTGTTTTTTATGATTTTAGCGATATTATTCACCGTATTGTGTAATGTGTACTACAGCATGTCGCAGAAAATTGTCATGCAGGTTCGTGTCCCTATATTCGGGGCTCTTAATCAATTTTTAACAATCGTATTTTCTTACAAATCACACTTCTAACCTATTATATCAACAAATTCTGTTAAAGCTCGATTTGAGACGGTACAAATAATTGATTCCAGGAGAACCTTGTAAGCAGATAGCGGGACACGTGACTGAAGCTAGACACAAAGTCAAATTTATTTCAAGAGCAATTATATAATTGGTATTTTCCCACATAAAAGTAAATTCTTAAAATGAAACTCAAGCTACACCCAAAATGCAGCTAAAAGCAATGCAGGTAAAGCGAAGTTCTTGCAAACCATTTCCCCTCTTTTAAAAACACACACAGTGCAAATCTCGTTCTCTTTTATCTAAGCCATTAATGATATCATCATCATTATTTATAATTTATTGCCTACCCACCCCAACCCATAATCATACAAATGTTGTTTATTGCTTGGATTTTTTTCGTCTTAAGTACCATCCAAAAAAAATATTTTTTCACACATACCATAAGTAAGCATAACAGAAAAAAACGCTATTTCTTTTCTTTTTCTTGAAAACCAAATAAAAAAATTGTCGCCCCTAAGATTTCACACAAAACGAAAAACTTGAGAAGAGAAACACCGGCATGCAAACAGATAAACAACGAAATTTTTGTCGCACTAACTGCATTGCACGCACGATTGATCGCCCACACGCTGGATGGCGTTGTCATTGTCACTGGCTGGATGGCTGACTGACTGGCTGGCTGGCGTATAACGTTATTTCAGTTTACTCTTTTTTATTTTTGCTGCTGCTGATAACACGTAAAGAAAGCAAATTGTTTAACGTTTGTTTAACAATTTGGTACATTTACCGTATGCGCCGGGGCAAAGGCACCTTCACAAATCGAAACCATCTCCGGTATATTTGCAGTGTTTATTAGCTTCTCCTGGTATTTGGCTTACGACAAAGATTGTTGTTTTTATTATTATTATTATTTTTGTGTTATGCACCATGGCTAATTGTGTGTGTGTGTGTTGGTGTGCGGTGCGGTACGAGTACATTGCACACCGAGTGTCATGATGGTTTAGTTAAATGCGCCATCAAGCGGCAGACATTACTTGTGTCAATATTTGAGAACTTATACAGAAATGTGGTATTCTTAAATCTGTTGACGACGTCCAGCCGACGACCATCGTTTTGTACAAGAAAATAATATTGGTTTATTGCCTTGTTTGTTTAACACTTAAAACTGGAGTCATTTCACATTGGGTCGGTCTTCTTATCGGTTTTTTTTTTTTT